CCGTTGACGGTGTGGCCATTGCACGCGACCCAGAGGGGAACCCGCGCGGGTTTGCGTTTGTGGACTGCGTAGACGTGCCATCTGCGCTCTATGCGAAGCAGCTGCTCAACGGCGTCGCCCTCTTTGGCAAACACATTCGCATCGATGCTGCTGACGCGTGCAGCCCTGAGGTCAAGGACCAAATCCGCAAAGTCACGCAGCTCTTCCCACGCCGCATCGAGGTACACGTCGTGTTGTGTTGTGTTGTGTTGTGTTGTGTTGTGTTGTGTTGTGTTGTGTTGTGTTGTGTTGTGTTGTGTTGTGTTGTGTTGTGTTGTGTTGTGTTGTGTTGTGTTGTGTTGTGTTGTGTTGTGTTGTGTTGTGTTGTGTTGTGTTGTGTTGTGTTGTGTTGTGTTGTGTTGTGTTGTGTTGTGTTGTGTTGTGTTGTGTTGTGTTGTGTTGTGTTGTGTGGGCCTGCGCGGGCCTGCGCGTGTGCACGTGCACATCTGACAGTCCGTTTTCTGTTTCCTGCGTGCTGCTTCACTTCCCCATCATCCACCCTGGCCCCTGTCCCTAGAGCATCTTATGTTTTCATCACTTCCGCACGTGGTATTTCATTCAACACAGGGGGCGTTGCCGCGCCTGCGACCGGCACCACCTACCGCTTCGGTCGCGGCACCCCGCCACCCATATCCACCCCACCATGCACACGGCCTCCTCGCTGCCCCCGGGGGCTTCTACCACCCTTACCGCCCACCCTACACGCCAGCGTACCCAGCGTACCACCAGCCCCACCCCCACCAGTACCCGTACCCTTACGCCTACCACCCCAACTCCCAGTACCACTATCCATACGCAAGACCGCCACCACCACCACCACCACCACCACCGCACCATCCGCCGCCACCGCCACCACCAACAGCACCGCCACCACCCCCAAACCCATCCAAACAGCCACCACCACCACCACCACCACGACCACGGGCACCAACGCGACCCGCAAGCACCAAAACATCTTCAGCGGAACCAGCAAGGACAGCACCACCGCGCACCGCTTCGCCACCGCCAACACCACCTTCATCGTCATCGCTGGCACCAGCAGCATCATCGCGGTCACGATCACCGTTGCATCCGCGCCGGAGTCGCGAGCGCGGTGACGGCGTTCGTGGTGGTGGTCGTGGGGTTGCGCGCACACACGTGCACGGCCGCGATGGCCGCGATGGTCGCGGACAATCGCCACCAGCACGCGCAACAACCGGCGTTGCTGTTGCTGGCGTTGGTGGTGGTGCCGCTGCTGGTGATCACCGCCATTATGACCATCGTCGTGACCAGCATCGTCCTGACCACCGCACCGCACGGCAGCAGCAGCAGCAGCAGCATCGTCGCCCACGACCATCACCACCACGCGGGCGCTACCGTTCCGGCCCCGCACGCACTGCTGTCGCTGCTGACCGTGGGCACGTGGACGAAGATGAGCTGGCAATGCTGGCGGCGGCGTTTGCCCAGAAGCGCGGGCACGACACACACCGCCACCACGACGACGGCCGTGGCGGCGAGTCGTATCCGCCGCGCTCGCGGGTGGACGCTGATTCCAGTGGGGATGTGGAGGGATTTTCCGACTACCGCCAGCCCGCGAGCAAACGCGCACGCATGGACGCAGACGCACCCATGCCGCCAACACACACGCACGCCCACGCGCACGCGCACGCACATCCTCGACAACAGCCGCGGTATGATTCGCAGGCGTACACAGACGAGCGGCAGCCACCGCCTCGTCAGCAACAGCAGCAACAGCACGCGCACAGCGAGCCGGCACAACTTGCCCAATTGCGTGATGCACACGGGGAGCAGCATGGGCATTACGCAACACAACGCCATCGAGAGCAGCCGCAGGTGCAGCAGCAGCAGCAGCAGCAGCCACGATTAGCAGCGCACCGCGCCATGCCAGCACCCCATCCTCCACCAATACAGCAGCGGCGGCAGCAGGCACAGAACGCAGGCGCACCGCGAGTGTACACGCATTCGCTGACACCGGTTGCGCCACCACCGCCACCACCAGTGTCTTCCGCGCCATCATCATCATCATTGTCGTCATCATCATCATCAAGGGCGGGCGGGCAGGAGGCGACGCGCCGACAGCCATCCGTCTGGTGCCGCATGGACAGGCTGTAGTTGTGCGTTTGTTTTTGTGTGTGTGTGTTTGTTTGTGTGTGTGTGTGTGTACGTGTTGTATGAGTGCATGTTGTGTTTAATATCCCAATCTCCCTCCTTCACCGATAAAAGCAATGATTTAATCAAATCGTCAAGCACAACATCACCGCATCAATCGTCAAGCAACATGCACACCAAGAGCACACACACACACACACACACACACACACACACACACACACACACACACACACACACACACACACACACACACACACACACACACACACACACACACCAATGCACGACAGCAGCACGAGTGACCTCATCCCTCCTCTTCCAATGTGGCAGTGAACGGGTGTCACGCTGTGGCCGCGTGTGTGCGGGGCGGGTCAGGCCTACGCCTGAAGACCGCAACGCGCACTTCTCCATCACCGTGGTTTTCGCCGCGGGCCTTGTTGCGATAAACCTTCTTGCCTTCCTCTGTGCTCTGGTACAGCTTGGGCACAATCGGATCTTGCTCCTGCAGTGGTGAACGGGACGATGAGAGAGAGGGACGGGGGAGGGGTTAGGCGAGTGGAGGACAGGAGGAGGAGGAGGAGGAGGAGGAGGAGGAGGAGGAGGAGGAGGAGGAGGAGGAGGAGGAGGAGG